CTCTCTCTCTCTCTCTCTCACAGTGCTTGTGTGTGGATGCATCATACACGATGTAATTTGGTCCAATGAATTCTCAGCCTTCCTGAAAATTACATGGCATGTGAAAAGCAATAAAGAAGTATAAATGGATCCCAACCATGTATAAAAAATAGATTCCACCTTCGATACAGTCTGGCCTCTGAAATTTTTTAATTTTGGGAGGTAGAAAATTATCATTACTTTTTAGAGATTTTTTTTATTAAGTTTACATTTACTTCAATAGATTTTTATTATTAAGTTTATGTACACAGTCCTTTGGCGCAAAGAAAAGATCAAATCTATCACTTGCATAAGTTCTTAATTCCTAACTTGAAGAGGAAGAACTTAACCTATTAACATCTGTTACATGTTAATCTTTAAACAAAAACATTCTGCCTTCACAAGCGAGTGTTTTAACTGTGAAGAAGAGGGTTGCATTTAAAAAATGAAGATAAGCCCTTGTTTGTTTAGTCCTTTTCTTGATAATCTAACCAAATGAAGCTGAATATAAGAAGAAAAATATCTTTAAGAAGGAGAAGTTGCATACTAAAAAATGAAGAACTGTTTTCTGCATGCTAAAGATTGATGAAGTAGGGACATAATGTGCTTTTGGAATTTGGCAAAATCCAAATTCCAAAAAATGAAGAACTGTTTTCTGCATGCTAAAATTTGATGAAGTAGAGACGTAATGTGCTTTTGGAATTTGGAAAAATCATCAATCAGGATAATATTGGTCACATTTCTTTTCTAATTTTGTTGCAACCTTGTAATAGGAAGCTTGCCAGAGATTAATTAACTTTTTACTTAATTATCTATGAGTTGGTTTGTATATAAAATAAAATCATTTAATAAATATAGTAAATTTCCCATTCTAATAAACTTTATAAGGATTTTTCTCAAAGTGATGTCAATTGTTAGGCAGTTGAATCATTAATTTTGGATGTGGAACAAAATTTGGCTCCTTAATAATTCAAATAACTATTAGAGGTACTAAACGTATTGGATGTTAATTATATGTTGGGCGACTTTACATCAATAAGACACAGACATGTATCATTTTATGTCTTTTTTGTGTAACTTAGCCAGCTTGTTCTTGCTATTTAAGATTGATCTGGCTTACATCTTTATGTAGGCCGTTCCTACATCCAGAGGTCAAGCACTTGCTGATGAATACGGAATTAAATTCTATGAGACTGTAAGTAGTGCTTGTTGTTGGTGTTGCCAATATTTTGCAGAATTTAAGTTTAATGACATCATGTCAAATAGAGTGCAAAGACAAATATGAATGTGGAGGAAGTTTTCTTCTCAATAGGCAGGGATATAAAGAAAAGACTTTCTGAGAAGGACTCAAAACCTGAGGTACTACTGTCTGTTTTTCATGTTGGGGAATTTATAAGAGCAGGTTTGACTAAGCTTAGAAAGTGAAAATTACTTTTATACTTTTGTTTCCAGATTATGTTTGGATAGCTTATTTTGAAGTAACAAAGTTAGTTATTTTGAAAGTAACTCAAAGCTTAGTGTCAAAATAAGCAACTTTACACCCGAGCTGAACATGCTCATTAGTGCTCAGCACTGACTTATACGTTATCTGATTATCACAGGATCCATCCATTAGGATTACCCAAGCAGACCGAACTGCAGGGGGTTCTTATGCAGCGCAAAAGTCGGCTTGCTGTGGTTCTTGATCAAATTCTTTGCATTGAAGGTAGGCCAACCAGTTACATCCTTCAAATTAATCATTTTGAGGGAGGAATTAATGTTATGAAAATATCAATGTTGCTTGTAATGTTTTCGTTCTCATTTAATATAGTCTCTACACAACTTTGTCATGGGAGTAAATCTTTATTTGAGAAAGTAATAGCATTTAAGTCTTTATCATGTACTCGTCATTGGGTTGACTGAAAAATTTAGTAAATTGCTTTTATTTTATGGCTGATCTGAGTGTAAATTTGAAACGTCTCTATTTATTTTAGACCAAACTCTTTGCAAGTGTTAGTGAGCTGCGATGCCATCCACTGTGTTCTGTTCTTTACTATTCCCTATTTGCTCGGTCTCTACTCGAGCATTGTATTTTGATGGTTAGATGCAAATTGTTTAAGTTTGAGCATATATGTTGGTTCTTAAACCTTC